GAGATGAATCTTAAGGAATACTAATTTTCTGGATCACAGATTGAAAGAGTAATGGATAGTTTTAAAAAAGTGAATGAATTTCTCAACAGCTTGCACAGGCACTTGTCTCAGAAAAAAAATTACCTATATACCTTAATATAACACGTGTTATATTAAGGTATATAGGGGAAAAAAATTCTGAGACAAGTGCCTGTGACAGCTTGCCATAATCAGAGTTCTCAAAATCTTTTTTTCCTGGTGTTCCTTGAAGAAAATCTGCTGGTTCTCACTATTATTTCTATTGCAAAATACCAAAATTGTGTCAGTCCTTTGCAAAATTTGGTGGTCAAAACCTTCAGACTACCACTTTTGGAGAACTCTGCCTAGAAGTTCACATAATCCACAAGGAGAAGATGATGTCTGTTGAGTTATTTTTTTTTGTCATTGGGTTGCATCTTGGTTGACATATATACTGCAGATCTGCTTTTATTCACAATTTACTGTCTTTATTAAGGATTTTCATCATTAACGTCTGAGGGGACAACAGTTAATATGATATTGCTGATTATCTATCCCTTCTTTACATAAGGCAGCTGATTATTTTATAGAAATAACAAAATTTACTGACTGAAACTATTTATATAAATTAAATGTTACAGAAAAAGCCCTATTTAGTACCCAGGATACTTGTTTTAAATGAAGATAACAATACTAAATGGGAAGTATTTTAATGAGTGTTTTCCTGTAGTCAACAGAAGTAATGATAATACGACGGAATATTGTATAACTTATAAGACAATGGATAGGGTAATTTGGGTCACGTAAGAGATTATTACATACAGGGAATATTTCTAGGATAACGCATTTAGTCAAATAGGACACTTTAATTATTAGATATAGGGAATGTTCCTAGTTCAATGCATAAGTTGAAATAAGATGCTGTAGATATAAATCTATTGGCTAATAAAAGATCATGTGGTGTGAATTAATTCAGATATTTTCATCCAAATGAGCAGGGCTGGTGAATAACCTTGACAAATTGTATCTTCCGGTGAATAATGAATAACCCTATTATTCACTGCTGGTGAATAGCCCTATCATATAACCACCGTCAAAGCCAAATTGAATGTCAATATTTGTTCGAAATAATAAAACAGTTACAGCCCTATGAGTCGGGAGATATCCAAAATTATCAACCATGCTAAGGGTTGACATTTTTTATATCCCCCTCGGCAGAGGGCCGTTATTGTATATTATATACAAAGAGTGTTCCTAAGACAGTGAATTGTGTCAAATAAGATACTATAGGTAATACTATTAGACGCAGTAAATCAGAGGTCAAGAATTTATAGATAATAGGAGGGTCTCATTGATTTATAAATGTCTTGTTCAAGTAATCATGTTTTTGAAAAGTTTTAGATGCATGATAGTTCAAAAATTTCTAATCTGCCTTTGATTTTTCATATAATAACATTAACATTACATGTACCAATTTTTCTGCACCAGATATACATTTCAACAGTAAATGTCCCTTTAGTGATGCTCAAGGCCAAAATAACTTATTATAAAATGAAGAGCTTATAAACCAAATAGAACAAGAAGTATAGCCAAAGCTGGCAAGGAATCAGAGCTTTGCATGAAGGAGATATAATTCTGAATTTCAAATGATTTCCAAAATTGTGTTCATATCTGTAGAATTTTAAACATGATCTCTTGCCTTTGACACTTTTTTTAACAGAAGATGGTATTATTTTGTTAATAATTTGCCTGGTTAGTTTAAGTGTATGATTATCAGAAGCATTTAATATATATATATTCATAATTAAAACTGAAAATTCAGAAATTATTGTGATTTTTGAAGAATGGACAAAAATGCAAGTCTAATTATTGCAATTTCAGAAAAATTTGTATACAGATATATGTATCAGTTATCAGAATGCGAGTTCTCATTATTGCAAATCTATATACTCACCAAGTTGCATTAGTATGAACCTCCCAATAATTTCTGAATTTACAGTAGTCTTAGTATTTCAGGATATTTTTTACAATCTTTTATTCCCTTTTTAAGATATGATTTTGTATTCATAGAGCTGCATCTGTCATAAGAATATCCTGCATTTAAAATGTGCTTAGATCTAGCCATGAAAACTGCATATCCAAAAAGACTTTGAGATGTCCCCTGTTTAAATGCCTCTGAAAAATGTAATTAAGTCAGATGAATACTCTCACAAATTTAATAGTTCTATTAAAAGTCGAGTTATTTCAGTTTATTATAACTAAAAATTCATTTAACAAGTTGGAACCTGAAAAAATCTTTTTGAAAGAACTTTATTATATGAATTTTTGTCACGTAAGATTGTAATTTAAATGAAATTATTTGAATTCTCCCTTTTAAATTTCAACCTACACCAAATTTCATTCATATTTTAGAAATTCTTGCAGGTTCTTTTAAAGTCAATGCTACAAACATTTTAAATGGCTTTCTCTTGGTCATGAATATCATTTACCTACAAGTATTGATTTAAATTTTGTTTGCTTATTTTCTATATATGTAATAGGTAAATCTATGTAGCTAACCTGATTAGATAGATCAATAGATTTCTACCTGATTGGGCTGTTCCAATCAAATCCAGTAAAGGGGGGTCAGGTTATGTATTATGTTAGTTTAGCTTAGTATAACATACAGTATTTATCGATTATTTTTAAACACATTTTTTTGCTTTTCTGTTACTTTTAAAAAGTGTAGTAAGAATGTCAGCTTCCTGCTTATGTTGTGAAAACTCTTTAGGTCTCAGTATTTTTGATTTATAAGATGTTTGGCCAGATTGGACCAAGTCTAAAGGTGTAATACCACCATTGATTTTCCCCTATTAGTCTTTGTTAAATTTGCACTTTTCAAAAAATTGTGCAGAATTTATCTTTGTTTCAAATAAAGAAATACTTGGCATGAGTAAAGTTTGATCCTGTCCAGTACTATAGAAAAAATTTCACATAACATTTCATTGCATATAAGAAAATACCCATCACTGGAAGTTAACCAATCAAATTTTCCCCCTTTTTTAACCTGTGTACAAGCTTTAGTAACCATGTAACCTCAAGTTTCCAAAATATTCTATAGAAACCCCAAATAAAAAAATAATGGTGCTTTGAAATACCCAAGATATATGTTTATGACCCAGAAATGTTTTATTGCAATGAAATGTAGGATCAATTACCTACAACTGTCAAATTCAAGGGAATATTTTTTTTCGACCTATTTTCGTATGCAACCGGATGTGACGTACTATGATTTGGTGGTATTACACCTAAAGAAGACTTTTTTGTTAAATAAACTGAATGTGACTTTTTTCCTTTGTAATACTGGTTATTTCAAGCATTCCTGTCAAGTTTTGTCATAATCAGTTCAATAGTTTGAGAAAAATCTAGTATAATGTAAGACGACATCTACAGCGTTTTGAGCTAAATTTCTTCGAAAAATCCAAACCAAGCCGCATCATGATAGAATATAGTGTGGACCAATAAATGATCAAATATTTATCTCATCTGCCTACAAACAGTTGAATATGATACAAAAGATGACTTTAGGATGATAAATACTACTAATGGACCTCTTTGTCTTCTTTATAAGGTCTCTTTTGGTCCATTTATACCTCTCATTTCCTCAAAATTTCTACTTTATAGGCCAATAAATAAAAATTTTGGGGTAACTTTCACTCATTTATGATAGAAATGTTATAATAAATGATTAATTGAAGTATTCAAGCTGAATGAACTATCCGTATAAAGGTTTACTGTCTCCAAGGAGGTTTCCATAAGTCCTTACGTAAAACTTAAATTTACGCCGCGTTCCAGAGAGGGACATAAAAAGCTTCTCTTTTGGTGAATAATTTGTTGTTACTGCTTTAAAAATAATTTCATTTACTTAAAACTATATATTTATGAAAGTATTTCTTAGGAAAAATTTTCTAGTATAGCAGAATATAAGAAAAAAGGAGAAAAAGCTCCCCAAAACTCTAAGTATGGCTTATTCTGTCAACTAATATTCATGGTAAAGTCCTATTTCAAGGAAATTTTCTCATAAAATGTGTTTTGGAGACTCAATCCACTCAGAATATTTCATTATTAGTAATATTTCACTTAAATAGCAAGAAATTTTAACACATGAGAGTACTCACAAGGTCAAAGGTGCATGTACAGCTTCCCATATTAGGTGTAATACCACCATTGATTTTCCCCTATTAGTCTTTGTTAAATTTGCACTTTTCAAAAAATTGTGCAGAATTTATCTTTGTTTCAAATAAAGAAATACTTGGCATGAGTAAAGTTTGATTCTGTCCAGTACTATAGAAAAAATTTCACATAACATTTCATTGCATATAAGAAAATACCCATCACTGGAAGTTAACCAATCAAATTTTCCCCCTTTTTTAACCTGTGTACAAGCTTTAGTAACCATGTAACCTCAAGTTTCCAAAATATTCTATAGAAACCCCAAATAAAAAAATAATGGTGCTTTGAAATACCCAAGATATATGTTTATGACCCAGAAATGTTTTATTGCAATGAAATGTAGGATCAATTACCTACAACTGTCAAATTCAAGGGAATATTTTTTTTCGACCTATTTTCGTATGCAACCGGATGTGACGTACTATGATTTGGTGGTATTACACCTAAAACCAGCTTATAGTATGGTATGTTGGGCAGGTGGGCAGGCTGGCAAATGGGAGGGCAGGGAAAAGTGGGTACCTAATTTGTGTAATCAACTCTTCCTATAGTTTTCAACCCGGATCCTGGAATTTTCTCAGGAAGATTGCACTTTTGTTGAAGTTTACAGTGCACCTACTATTACGGAATTGTTTGAGGAATTTGTTTCTCATTTTTAAAGACTTGGGAACTTAGACTGAAGGTTCACACATATATTGTATACAGAATCAAGAAATAATGTTTTGCAACTTTCAATCTTTATCATTATGGCTTTAAAACAAATGTAAAAGATATATAAAACATCTTTTTTTCAGATTTCTTGATGTGAAACATACAAATCAAACTGCAAATGAAATTCGTCTCAACTTGGTATTTGAATTCATAGACCAGGATTTGGCAGCCTATTTAGAAAGATGTCCATCACCAGGACTAGGGCCAGACAGAATCAGAGTAAGTATTATAAAAATCAGATCAGTGTTTGCTACAAATACAGATACTTTCTTTAGAGAAAAATAATTGTGTCATTGTATTTTTAGATCATTGTTCCATATGGTTGATCAAAGTATGTATCTAACTGTAATGTAATAAAGTTATTAGACTACATATTTAGATAGAGAGCTTTACAGGACTTGACTGGAAAAAAAATATTTCAAATCATTCTTGTTCACAAAAATAAAAGCAGTGTGCCCCCACCAAAAAAAAACCTGAAACACCCAAATATGAATTTAATAATTTATACAAAAATCTCTTAATATTTGGTAAGATATGCTGGATCCTTAAAAAGCCTACAGGAATGGTAGAAAATAGTTTGGTGTGGGGGCCAATGAAAGTAGTAAAGCAAGAAAATTTTTTGTTCATTTGTTCATTTTTTTCAGAAAAAAAAACCCTTTTCTTTTTAATAAAAAAAAATGTCTATGAGAGGTAATGTAATTTATTAATATTCTCTGTATTTCAGGACTTAATGTATCAGTTATTAAATGGTGTAGACTTTCTCCATGCTCATCGAATTGTACATCGAGACTTAAAGCCACAGAACATACTTATAACAAGAAATGGGCAGTTAAAACTTGCTGATTTTGGACTTGCTAGAGTTTACGGGTTTCAGATGGCTCTTACTTCAGTGGTTAGTGGGCTAATCATTGTTAAGCATTAAACAATATTTAGCTAAATATTTGCAGGTACTGAAAAAAAATGGCAAACTGCTGCTTCCATGACATAGTCCAAGTTCACATGCTTAAAATCATTCTTAGTCTATCCGATCAAATCAAACTTTACATGTAACTTCCTAAAAAACAACGACCGGTTAGATGCAAACAATCTGCTTTTTAACTGAAGAGTTGAAAAGGTGTTTGTGATGGATAGAATGTTAGAAATTAATTATTTGTAAGCATAAAAGAAGCTCATCTTCCTTTCCCCATCCTTATCTTCTTTTATTAAATCTTTCAACTACTGTTTTAATCATTAGATCTTTGATGTCTTGAAATTGAAGTTAACAAAGCTTATGAATTTCAGGTAGTAACACTATGGTATAGGGCTCCAGAGGTAATTTTACAAGCATCCTATGCCACTCCTGTAGATTTATGGAGCTGTGGATGTATTTTTGCAGAACTTTTTATCAGAAGGTATGTAGCAAGTGTACTTATGCTTTTACATTGATTTGGAACAATATAATAGAAAGATACCAATGGGACATTTAAACTCATAAGTCAAAAACAAAGTGACAATGGCAAAAAAAACAAAACAACTAAAGACAAAGAACAGTATACAGAACACGACATTGAAAACTAAAGACTGAGCAACACTAACCCCATTAAGGGGGCTCGCGGGTTCAAATTTTCGCGCCAACTGCGCAGGAAGTTGCGCATCGATATCGGAAGTCATCCTATTGTCGTTATTGTCAATAATAATTAATTTTGATTATTATAAATAATCTATTTGATTTAAATATATAACAAAAGAATGTTGTTATCGAAAACTGTAATTCTAGAATTTTACAAACAAATTTATTGCTATTTTCATTGTTGCAAATGCACTTCCGTTTTGTGGTAATGGCATGTTCTTGCCGGAGAAGATAAACACAAGATAAATCACAATAATCGAACACGTGGGCTGCTTTTCATGAATACTGAAACAAAGATCGAAAATATTAGAACACGATCTTCATTTTAGTAGCTTATTAAGCAGTTTCACATTTGTTTTACACTAGAAAAGGACCCAGAAATATGCGTAAAATGTATGTAATATTTTGTAAACAAACGGAATATAAATGTAAGTTATTCTTCTTTAAGTTTCTACCGATGCGATCCTTCGTTTATTGAAGATATATTTTACATCGTGTTCGAATGATCCCAGCACAAGAATGATTCACGACCGTAAAATCATTTGAAAGTTATTTTTTAACGGAAATGGGGAAAAAAAAGCAAAAAACAGGGACAAACATTAATGTGTATTATAAATTATATAAAATTTAGAATGGAAACGGGGAAAATTACATGTCAGGACAACAATCCGACCAAATAGCAGAAGATGACCTGTGGCCACTATGAGTATAATGGTTCTTCAACACAGCGAGGAAATCCAGCCCCTGGAGGCTGGGTCCAGCTAGCCCCTAAACAATAATGTATTGTCCAGGGAAAATGGACGTCACACTTAACGCCAAAACATATAAATGAACCAAAAATTAAAATACATACAAGACTAAAAAAGACTAGAATTTCACGACTTGGGACAGGGTGAGGCGCAAACAATATTTCAGCGAGGTTAAACATGTTTTGTCAGATGTTAACCCTCCGGCTCCACTGTCTGTAACCAATGTGGAATAAGCAAAAACACAGCAATACCCACACTAAAATGAGTGATGCTCATTGTACAATATACTTGTGGTAAATGTTATGACACATTTTTTACAGACCACTTAGGGTCCAGGAGTCGTTTTCACATTAACATGGTTAATCTTACAACTAAGATCGATAGTACAATGTAATTCATGGTGTGTTGACTAAATCACCATTTATTTGCAACTTGGCAGTTGTGTTATATATAAAAAAGAAGATGTGGTATGATTGCCAATGAGACAACTCTCCACAAGACCAAATGACACAGAAATAAACAACTATAGGTCACCGTACGACCTTCAACAATGAGTAAAGCCCATACCACATATATAAAGTCAGCTATAAAAGGCCCCGGAATGACAAATGTAAAACAATTCAAACGAGAAAACTAACGGCCTAATCTATGTACAAAAAATGAACCAATAACAAAAATGTGACACATCAACAAACGACAACCACTGAATTACAGGCTCCTGACTTGGGACAGGCACATACATACAGAATGTTGTCTACATCAGACACCATAAGTAAATTAATACTAATGACTATTTGACTTTTCGGGGGAAAAGGCAGGAGTTTCTTTTGCAAACAGAATTTTCATTTACTCTGTTGTTAGTTTAGATTATTAGTCCCCTACCGACGAAGTCGAATGGGACTTTTGGTTTGCACTCTGTCAGTCTGTCTGTCTGTCCATCCATCAGTAACCCCACCACCCTCTTTTTCTAAAATTCTGGGTCCCTCCTGTAGATTATTCATGTAAAACTTGGCACATATCATACTGTGTTGATTATTTAATGATAACATAGATAAGGTTAGGTGCATATTGAACTATATATTTCAAACAATTTACTGTTGTATTAAAATTTTGTTCTCTTTGTTAAATATTATGTCAAATGTCTTAATTAATAAAGTTATATCAGTATGTGTTTTGCTAGAACAGTACACTTTTCATGGACAGAATTAAAAAGTTAGATTAATTCAAAGCGGGCTATGCTTATAAATTAGTTGGAATTGAAAAAGGGAGGTACATGTAATAGTTCTTATAATTATTTTCAAAGTGGCAGAATGTAAAAGGTTATTCAGGTTATTTCATTGATTCGTTACTTTTATAATTTCTTTATTACATACAAATGAATGTACATTTTTTGTATTTTTTAACATATGGGAAGTGAACGGCCATACTTTGAGTTAGAGCTGGTAGATATTCTATGATTTTAATATATATGTTTGCCTAAAAGTAGAACATTATATAAAAAAAAAGATGTGGTATGATATCCAATAAAACAAAAGAACAAATGACACAGAAATTAACAACAATATGTCACTGTACCGCATTCGACAATGAGCAAAGCCCATACCACATAGTCAGCTTTGAAAGGCCTGTAAAAATTTAATTGAGAAGGTGCAAGTCTAGTGTGTTTTTTTATATTTTCATTTACCAGGTATTGTCTGAAAGAAATGCAGGTAACAAAATGTTACAAATATGTTTCTAGGATTTCGAAAAAAGGAGCAAAAGCCTTCCCAAACTAGGCAACGGTTGAAGTGGGACATGTAAAAAGGCTATGAATTAACCATATATGTACATCCCCTAAATCCACCTCTTTAAAATAATGGAATAATTTTATTTTCAAACTGAATAGACATTTTTTATAGACTTTGCATGACCTTAGACATGTTAGAGTAGGCCTGGGAATTATAAAAGAGTTGACAAAGTAAATATACAATCTTTATTAAAGACAATACTGATATATCCATTTTATTCATGTAGCTTAGGTAGTTTATTTTTTACATTAATTTATTTAACAATGTTAAATGCCCTAATATATTATGTAGCATGTATGTAAAGCAATTGAAGAATCATTCAGTGTATCAAGGATTCAAGATTTATTACATTTATTCAAAATTTAAATTAATGTGTGTCTGAAAAATAAAAGATTATCCAAAGAAGGTGGCTTTACATGCATGATGCATGACATTAAATTGGTTTTTTTTTCTACCAATTTAAAATTTTTAAAGTTTTTTAATTCTTCCACATGAGTATAAAACGTGCTTGGCCATGTATAATTGAATAGAAAAAAAACGACAGTGCAAGGACTGTATAGCCAGTCAAGGTCTTCAAAACTCCCATCATCATCATGATTGAAAAAAGTTATTTGAACAAGGAATTATTTGAATCTGGAATAATTTTGAATTCTGGAAAATTGATGAGAAATATATGATGAAAACTAACCCAACTAAATAGGGTTAGCCATGCGCGCATGGCTAAGGTGGGTTAGTTAGTTCATACTGAAATGATAGTGAAAGTAAAATTAACCTTAGCCATGCACGCATGGCTAACCCTATTTAGTTGGGTTAGTTTTCATCATACATTTCTAATCAATTTTCCAGAATTCAAAATTATTCCAGATTCAAATAATTCCTTGTTTTTGGTCAATTTAGGCAATAACGCATATTTACACATAAAAATTATTACAGAAGCTATAGGAAATAGATTGTTTTTGCATAAATTAAGAAGTACAATGTATGCTAATGCAATATATTTTTCAATTTTTAGTGGAAAACTTGCATGTAATTTTAGTCCCAATTGTTATACACATGTTCATTGTATTTGGTGAACTTACTATCCTACCAAAGAAAATAAAGGTAGTATATGAAATGAAACAGGTACACTTATCAAAATAATTTACTGTTGAGAACTTTATAAATCTCAAAAATACTGTTTTAGCATAAAAAAACATGTGTGCATTTAAGTTAATTGTAAGAGGGAGGAAAAGGGGTGGGGGGGGGGGGGGGGGGGTAGACAGGTATTTGCATAACTGATTATACAGAGAACAGGATTTTTAAAAACTGGCACACTTTGAAAAGAAAATCATAAGGTTATATGAATAGAATAAATCTGTGAAGTTGGTCTGCTACTAATCAAACCATGCAATTCAACACTTTTAAATTAGTTATTTTTTGGGGGGAATTTATTGAATCTAAATAAGTAATTTATGGGAACTGAAATTTGATCATAAATGAGTACTTTTGTCACAATACTGCATGTTGTTATTTATATTTATTTGAAAAAGTTACCAAGATTGGAATTTATTATGCCCTGCCACAAATGTGGATGGATTATATAGATTGATACTAGTATACCTTTGTCAGTCCATAAGTATGTACATCCCTTTCCAGTAAAGTTTTGCATTTATTTCTATTTCTCAGTATTTAATGGTAATATATCAGTGATATTTTTTCTCCACAGACATCTTGTATACTAGTAATGCTAGTAGTACTATACATTACTTGAGTCACTATGACCTACATTTATTGCTTTTGTGTCTTTGGTTAAGTCTTGTGTTTAGGTTCATTTCACAGAAACCTATTGTGATATATCATCACTACTGTATTCTTAAATGATACCACACAGGTCATCAACAATTTGATTACTGTGACCTACATTTAATGGCAGGACATCCTGTGTCTTATAGACACATTTTCTGTTTAATACAAATCTAATAACACACTATTTAAACTGAAATTTTTTATGTATGTAATTTCAAAAGAATAAAACGGATAAATTGACAGATATATAAAAAAAGGATTATATGGCAGGTGTATCAGGTTCAACTATCTCATGTGTTAATGTTTATACATAAACAAGTACTAGGAAATGAAAGAAGAATTTGTCTATGTCAAACTAAGATATGCTCCTGTAATAATTCCATTATACAACAAACATAGAAGCTGTCCTGTGTGCTATATTTGTCAGCATTGTGTTTAAAATTTCAAATATATATAAAAAGGTGGGATATACGGGGCATGATTGCCACTGAGAAAACTTGCCACCAGAGACCAAAAGAGATAGAAGTTAAGAGATATATGGCCTTCAACAATGAGCCAATTCCATACCGTTTGGCAAGCTATAAAACCAAATGACAAATGTAAGGCAATTCAAACATGTCAAAACAGCCTGATTTATGTACAAAACACCAATAAAATAAAAATACCTTGCAAAGTTTCATCAAAATTGGAATACTAATGTTAGAGGTCCCTGAGGTGGGATATTTACTGCAGATGAGGTATTTTCTTGTAAACTGAAAAATCAGTTTAAGTCAGGTGTCTGAGTGAGTCTCTAGGTTTCATAAAAAAGGCAAGTTTTATTACAATCAAGCAAGAGATACTAAAATTATCAACTGAAACCAGTGGTATTAAACAAGTGAACGAGCAGACAAACTAAGAACTATTTGCCTCAGGGATTCCATAGTCCATATAAATATGCAGGTTCTAAAAACAAACACACCCCTATTGTAATAGATACTGCCTGATCATTTTTGAAATAGTTTGGTATTGAATTTGAACTGAAAATTTTAAAAAATCCCAAAAATTAGTGATTTTCCATCTTGACTGCTGGTTGCCATGGCAACCAATATGCAAATCAACTGTTTGGAAATGTTATATATATTATATATGGTCTTACATGTATAGAGGGTATAACAAGTTTTTATAACCAGGTCTCTCTATATCTGGTCTCAAAATTAGAAAAATGTGTAAAAGACAGAGTTATCTCCCTTTTTGAAAAAAATGCTCATTATTTTTAATGATGCACATTTTTTGTCTTAACTAGACGGTGACTTGTTGATTTTATTTTTTATTATTTAAAAAGACTATTTCAGCAACAGAAAAAACACAAACATTAAAAAATCCTATATTAGGTTTCATGAGAAATTCTTCAAAAAAGATGGCTATGCATTCATTTCCCTATCATTTCTATAGTAATCTTGACTGAAAACCAATAAACTTGACCCCTTCAAAAAAAATTAACTAGACGGTGAACCCATTTTTTTATTTTTATTTTCCACTTAATATATGATAAAGTTCATTTATAAAAAGTATTAGCCAAATCCTATATTAGATATGTATACCACCCAGCCACCTTAATAATCACTTTCCTTTCGTCATGTTTTATTGAAACATTTGCAGGTGATTGGCATAAAGATGATCACATGACTTTAAAAGATCAATGCTTTCTTCCATTTAAATACTTTTGAAATTATTTTCCTTTTTTTTTACCAAAAAATATTTTATGCAGCAATGATTGATTGATTGTTGGTTGCTTAATGTCCAGGGTAAATATTTCATGCAGGTTTAGGACAAAAAAACAACTTAACAAAATATACAATATTTTGTGACGAGTGAACCAACACCTTCTAACGGAAAAGCTGGTAGAGTAACCAAGATGGATACCGAAGTATGCTGCGGTTGTCTTAAAACCTCATGGAAATATAATATGTAGAGACAACAACATCTGGGTTACCGCAAGGTAATAGTTTTATTGAGTCTACATGTTTCGCCACTTACGGTGGCGTCTTCAGGACAATTTAAACATAGAAAACAAATACTGAAGTACATAAAATGCGGTGCATATGGGGTTACAAAGGTTAACAAGACGTAACGTCACAATAATGGATTTGACAACTTTAAAAATGAAAGTGAAAGTAAAAGTTAATAATGCATTGTCAGTGTCTTTTCCAAAATGGACAACACCTCACAGGACATTCCGTACCATTCCAAAAGGCTTCACTCGGAAAGAGGTACTACTTCCAATTGCGTCGGGAATGTTGTAAGATGTATGGTAGTCGCACATGTAGGGCATGGTGGAAGTTGTGGTGAATTGGTTACATTTTGCGGTTGTGGTACACTATCCATGTTGCAAGTTTATTTCAACAATAATCGTGCGGTTCTGCGGTTCAGCAGAACCGCACGATTATTGTTAACCCCATATGCACCGCATTTTATGTACTTCAGTATTTGTTTTCTATGTTTAAATTGTCCTGAAGACGCCACCGTAAGTGGCGAAACATGTAGACTCAATAAAACTATTACCTTGCGGTAACCCAGATGTTGTTGTCTCTACATATTATAAAATATACAATAGGTAGGTCCTGTATAGAGACCATCCGGGGTGAAGGTTTGGGAAATATGGTTTGTCACTGGAACATGAGGGTATTTTGGATAGGGACAGAAATTTTGCCTTGCAACAGGCCACTAACAGGCCCGTCAAAGAGTTGTTGCAGGGGTTCTTAACATACAGAGAGCTATGTCACTATGTATAGCATGTGTACTTATTGTTGTCTCACAGGTTTATATTATATATTTTATCTTTACAGGCCATTGTTTTGTGGACAGTCAGACATAGATCAGTTGGCCAAAATATTTGAGTAAGTTTTGTGCTGAATTTTAAAGCATCTGTACATGACAGTGAAACAAAGGAGTGCCATTTGACTTCAGAGCTTATCTGATTGGTATGGGTTAATATCAAAAGTGAATATTTTTTTTTGGCATTAGGTCTCCACTGTCAATAGTACACAACCTGAAAAATCACATAATAGTACTTTTTGACATTACTTCTTGAAATTGTTTTGTGGTCTGAATGTTCCTTTTGGTTAACAAAATGACCTGACTGAAATGATTTCTCATATTCCCTGTACAAGGGAGATATTTACAAACAGATCCTTGGAATTTAATATACAGATTTATTCTTTTACATTTATCTTGTTTATATTTATATTTACATTCTAACATTTAAAAAAAGATTTAAGCAACTTCTTAGATGATCGCAGATTGAGTAGCACATATTTTGCAAAAACATATTTAGGCCAATCAGATGAGAAGTGAAGACCTCCTAGATACCAAAATTTCAATTCAGTGATGGACAACACGAGACAACAATCTACCAGAGTCAAAATGGTTTTGATGTAAACGACTATAGGTCAACTTTCAGCCTTCAACAATGAACCAAGTCCATACTGTTTAGTCATATTTTTAGTTCTTTTCATGATTTCCATGTTCTACTGCTAAGTTCTCAGAATGTTTTTAATGTTCAGAAGAAAGACAACAGAACAAATAATTAAAGTACTGTAGTCATATCACCAATAGATAAGAAAATATACATACAGATACATATAAAATAAGAAGATGTGGTACAATTGCCATTGAGATAACACTCCACCAGAGACCAAATGACATAGCAGTTAACAACTGCAGGTCAGCTTACAGCCTTCAACAAAGAGCAAAACCCATACCACATAGTCAGCTATAAAAGGCCCCAAAATGACAAATGTAAAACAATTCAAAGAGAAAACTAACTGCCTCATTATGTACAAAATTATGAATGAAAACAAATATACTAAACAACAACAAACAGCAACCACTGAATTACAGGCTCCTGACTTGGGACAGGCACATACAGCAGAAGGCGGGGCTAAACATATTAAACATGCACACATACAATATATTATTATGAAGTCATTTGTTCTTTTATTGTAATCACTATGAGTTTTTAAAATGTTGCTTTATTTGCTTTTGCTCACTACATTTGTTGAATCAATATCAAGGTCTGTCATATTGCAAACCAGTTTCATCAGATTATAATTTTTAATTTTGGCTGCTTTTGTTACTTGTAGAATTCTGGGACTTCCAATGGAACATGATTGGCCAGAAAATGTTACGTTACCATGGAGCTCATTTAAACCAGTCCCACCTCAGCCACTACAACATTACATACCAGAAATAGAATCAGACGCTCAAGATTTACTAGAGGTAATTAATAAATTACAACAAGAAACCATTGATAATGTGCAGTCTGCACCAAAGTCTTTTCCAACTACTAGTCCAAAGACCAATATTCCAACATTTTTCTTAAGTGTCTAAACAAAGTTTTACAAATACTGTAGAAACATTTATTTTTGTGGGGTTAAAATTTCGTGGTTTTCTCTCTATATAAAATTTCATGGGGATTTAATTTCGTGGTTTCCATTAAATGGAAGTGATATTATATGTAGGTTACTAGTTTGAATGAAATTTTATTAGTCTGGGGCGTCAGATTAGTGGCTAACGGTGCAGACTGAATGTTTGATATATTTCCACTCTTGAAATTTGTAGCGTCTTAAATTTGGATTACATGTACATGTATCTTGAAAGAAAAATACATTAGCCTTCTTTCATCAAAAACACAATGTATTTATAGTGATAAGGTTTTAATAGTTTTTCTATTAGTTCTTTTGTATTATATACAAAGTGTTTACTATTAAAGATGTTTTAAAAGTATTGCTATGGTTATAATGATATGTAGTATGATTGCCAATGAGACGACTTTCATCCAGAGACCAAATGATGCGGATGCAAATGACTATATGTAATTGTACTGCCTTCAACAATGGGAAAAAAACCAATAATGTATAGGAAGCTATAACAGGATCCGACATGACAAAATGTTTAACAATTTAAACAAGAAAACCAACAGCCTAGTTTATGATAAAACAATAAATAAAAATAACAGATAGCAGCCAACTACAACCACTGAATTACAGGCTGCTGTGTTCAATATACCATGCTTTAACTATAATAAATTTCCACTTTTACTTTCAGAAACTGCTGCAGTTTAATCCACATAAAAGAATAAGTGCAAGAAATGCTATGAACCATAATTATTTTAGAGATGAAATAGATAGTTTACGGACGTCAAGTTCTATGTCAGTGTCTGAAAGTGATTCAGGACTGGATACTAGCAGCAGATCTGACACTCCTGTCAGTAAATGAAACCCTTAATTTGATTGGATCGCTTTGCAGTTTCGGGGAAATGATTCCTTTTCTGTGATTTGGTAGAACATTAGGATCAGGGGTTTGCTGGTAATAAGGTTTATCCATCAATTATTGAATTCCATTGTAGGGTACAAGGATTTTATGGTTGGCTAAATCAATGCAAGGACAGACAAGAATAATTCAGGAATACAAATGAGTGAATGGTATAGGAATGTAAGATAGGTGTACATAAAATGCCAAAGTTGTCAAGATAGTATTTTTGCACTGCTGAACAAAAACAGAAATGTGTATACAAACATTGTTCAGAAGAAAGTAATTAAAGATTTTAATATTTTTATAATCTTTGAACTACCAGATTGCATTTCAAAAAAGATAATTTTGTCTCACCTGCGACAAAAGTCGTTGGAGGTAAGACATAGGTATTACTTTTGAATCAGTGAGGTTAATATTTATATATTAAGTTTTCCAGATTAGGTTTGCTATGTGGTTACTATTCAACGATTTCTGTTATGTAGATTTATTGTATGAAGTATTTGTCTATCAGACAACTGTCATATGATTTGGATTTTCACACTAAATTGAAGTCTCTTTGAATAGGGCTATTCCTCAATAACTATGCAACAAATACCACAATATTTGGTATATGGGTTTTCTTTAAGAAGCATAGGTCGGTCTCACATAATTAATTTGACCTTGACCTCATATTCACATTTTAGGGACTAAGTTTTGAAAAAAGTTTCTCTCAGAAACAATACTTGATTATTATTATAGTTCAACAGTGTTTTGATACCGGTAATATGAATTCATTATAGAGAGTTCAAGTTAAAATCTATAATTTGACCTTGACCTTGTTTTCAAAGTTTATTGACCTTTTCAGTAATACAATGTAGTATATAAATATTGGAGCAGGCAAGACATTTTAGTGTGTTTACTCTTGTTAAAAATGTATTTGTTATTAAAAAATTTAAATCATACCCATGAAAATTCATATTAACTAGAACTGTTATACAACTTATTTATATACACAAACACAGCTTCCATTTATCATGGTTATTAGCATTACTTTTTATAATGTACATATTTTTTCTTTTCTTTGTAAATTCAAGAAAAGTTCACTTTTAAGCAAAATAATCATTGTTTATCATCTTATTTTCATGGTTTTTCAAATTTTGATAAAAAGATTTATTTGGATTAAAGGGGTAAAGAAAGAGGCAGAAATTAGACATCTAAAAATACTAAAAGGTAATAATAAGAAAATTAAGATTGAGAAAGTGTAAACTGATTTTTTTTCCTTCTGACAAAATGTGCACAAACACAACAGTTTTATGGAATTTGTTTTAATTTAAAATGTGTTCTTAATATGGTGTAAATGAAATTGTTTATGAAGTATGAATCAATTCTTGTTGCTTTTTAGAAAAAATTACATCATCACATCTGGGCTGATCTTAAAACTTTCAGATTGTCAAACACAAATTGCTGTTGGATTATTGAAATATTTCAAACAATGTTAAAATGATTTTGTATAAAGACTCAAGTCAAAACCATGGGACTCATCAGGTTTGTCAAAATCTGCACTGTTTAACTGACTGTTTAAATATAAAGTTAAAGATGGATATGTTAGAAAAAAAGAGTAAAAATAGAATTTACAGAATAAAATAGAGTTTAACTTGCTTTTTCAAGTAATGCTCAATATCTTCAGAGTAAATTTAGGGGGATGGGACGGGTTGCCCAGTCACCCTTATGTAGCTACATTTATGGTTAATCCAGACTTTTTACCTGTTCCACTTCAAACTTTTTCTAATTTAAGGGCCTGCAGGCCTCCCCCATGTCAGTATCCGGGATCCACATCTGATCTTGACATCTTTACTACTATATTGCAGATGTTTCCTTAGATTTTCTAAGTTAAACGGTCCAAAGCCAGTAATGATACAATTGCTAGTCCTTGGAAATATAAGGCTGTTGAACAAAACATAAAATTGATTATAATGTTTTATAGAAAATGATAAAACCAGATGTGATGATGTCATACTTGTATTTACTTTTAAATTTTTAGTTTGAGCATTTTCAGCTGTGATTTCTTACTTTCAAACTGTGATTAATTTTTGTTATGGGTATTCTTTTCTTCTGTATTTTAAGCTTATAATTGCTGGAATGTTATATGTAGTTGTGCAAACCCATTTAGCACTATATCTTATACATGTGGAAGTTGATAATAACAGTCTTTATATCAATTGTATATAAATAGGCATGTTAATTTTGTCTTTGTTTTAATAAGAAATTGTTTGTAAAAATATAGATATAAAGGCATGTTATTTTTGTTTCCATTAAATACAATTTTTTTTTGTGTGCATAAAATATAGATACATGTAGGAATATTATTTTTTTTTCTTGTTTGAAGAAGAAATATTTTGTAACATACATGATATATATCCAATAGTTTAATAGGAAATCCCACACGTTTTACGTTTAAATTAAAATTGAAAAATAGCATTACAACAGTTTTTATGCCCCCGCCGTAGCGGAGGGGGCATTAAGTTTTACCCTTGTCCGTACGTCCATCTGTACATCCCAAAATTATTTTCCATTCTCTAACTTTAGTTTACCTCAACCAAATGTTATGAAACTTATACACAATACTTATTACCACAAAACACAGATCAAGTTTGAATTTTAATGGTGTCACTTTTACCATTCTAGAGTTATGCCCCTTTACAAATGGAAAAATTGCTGAATTTTTCGTTTCCGTTCTCTAACTTTAGTTTGCCTCTGTTATGAAACTTATACACAATGCTCATTACCACAAAACACAGATCAAGTTTGAATTTTGGTGGCGTCACTTTTGCCATTCTAGAGTTATGCCCCTTTACAAATGGAAAAATTGATGAATTTTTTTCGTTTCCGTTAGAGCTCTTACTTTAGTTTGCCTCAACCAAATGTTATTAAACTTATACACAATGCTCATTACCACAAAACACAGATCAAATTTGAATTTTGATGGGGTCACTTTTACCGTTCTAGAGTTATTCCCCTTTATAAATGGAAAAATTGCTGAAATTTTCGTTTCTGTCTCTTATTTAGTTTGCCTCAACCAAATGTTATGAAACTTATACACAATGCTCTTTACCACAAAACACAGATCCAGTTTGAATTTTGGTGGCGTCACTTTTGCCGTTCTAGAGTTATGCCCCTTTACAAATGGAAAAATTCAGAGTATCCATTCTCTAACTTAAGTTTGCCTCAACTAAATGTTATGAAACATATACACAATGCTTATTACCACAAAACTCAGATCAAGTACAAATTTGGGTAGCATCATTTTTACAGTTCTTGAGTTATGTCCCTTCATAACGTTATATGCAAGCGGGGGCATCATCTGTGTTCCATGGACACATTCCCCATTTATTTCTTTTTGTTTTTCTAAGCTTTTTATAGATTTATAGATATTAGAATTGACTGGAGAAATAATATATTTATTGACTATTACACCATTAGACCTTACACCCTAGGTTCTGAGAAAATTACAAAGAAATTTTGTTACATGTATACTTAATTTTAGATTATAAATTCTGTTTTTTGGCTTGATCTTAAGTTAATATGGAATATTAATTAGAATCGTTTGAGCATTTTTACTTATAAATGGTAATTTATGATAGAGTGTTATAAGGAGATCAGGGGTCACCATACCAGGCAAAGTGAGCAACTGTGTTGCCCTGGGGTTCCCGACTTCGCTCTTAAGAAGACCCAAAGAGAAGTGTATGAAGCCCACGATTTTCAGTAAAAGTCCCCTAATGTGCTCATTCAATTCAGATTGAAAAAAGATGTGGAAGGGCACTGTTATGAATTGAATACCATTTTCCATCAATCCCTACTTAGAATCACCATGCAATGCTTATTGAAATGAAATTGTTGGGCAGTAGTCTAAACATTTTCAGGAAGAAGCCAGAGGATTCACAATGACATTTTTTTACCTTGTTGGTCATTTTCTCATTGATTCACAATATTGGCAAGATATCCCTGATTTAGTATATTATTAATTCAAGTTGGCATTGGTGCATTTTTTGTTTTTTGTTAAAAGTCTTCAATATTCCATTTTTATATGACATTTCATAATTTGGTATTGATACATCACATAATATTAAATCATATATCACCTAAACTTTTTGTTGGTTTTTTTTCCAACTTATTCATATTTGCAACAGTATAAATTCCATTTTTTTAGATACATTGTTATAGTGTATTTGGGACCAAAAGTATTCTGTTATGAATTTTATGCATTTATACACAATATTGATTTTGTCAGATATGGAACTGCCTGATATATTTGCTTATAATAAGATATATAATGTCATGTAAATTTTGTAAATAGATTGTACAAATGTTTATATATTTTGAACAAATTTTTACATTTTGTGTTTAAGTCTCAAACTGGCATAATTTTCTAAATAATCTCAACATATATAGTACAAAATATACAACCCCTCAACTCACAAAATTCGTTTTTTGAAATGTGCAAGAAAGAAACATGGTTGGTATTTGTTTTATTTAGACCCTAAAAAGGATTTCTGATTAATATGAAATGTATTTCAATTTGCTCAGTATGTCTGCAGATAAATATTTCTTTTGATTTTGCTCAGTATAAGTATATTATCTTTAGTATTGAATAAAATAAATGACAAAAATGTATGTATTTTTATACAATTAACATGAAATTACTAGAAAAAAATCGTCTTTGTGATGTCATAGTTAAATAATTATCATGCTTTTATTTAAAAATACTTGTACATGTACTATAAATCTGGTTATAAATTAACTTTGGTATTCACAAGTCCTAGAAAAAATGTTCTGAGATTTATTAATTTATTTAAAATTTTAGGGCACAAATAATACACTCAACACACATTTTTCTGATTGTTTCGTAAAATAAAAAAGGGGGATCACATCTGATAATGTTTCAGCCCAGCTGAAGTCCTTTCTATAACAAACAAAATAAATGCCTCCTAGTTCATGGTCCAGCAACTTTGAATTAATTAGCAATTTTTAAAATGTTATTATTATAATGTTGAATTAATTAGCACTGTTGCTGTCCATTAGATTGTCTTTTTCAGAATTTTCTACCAACAGGCGAGACATATCTCTGTGTCAACAATATTTTAATTGTATTATTTACATCTTTGCTTATTAAAGAGGAACAAATTATATAATGGGACCAAAACTGATATTTCATATATATTATATCTGATTTGATACTGCTAGTTTATCTCTTTACAGTCTAATCAATTTACATATAATTTTTTCAAATGTATTCAAATAATGCAGGAAAATAATATCAAAATGTAAAATTTAATTATGGATGAATTTGATCAAGGAGAAAACAATAAACATTCCTTCCCACCGTAACATTTTGTCGGCTGTTTTAGCCTATATACTTTACATATTGTTTTGAATTGGCTCTTGATATTTTTATGATAGTTTTTTGTATGTTTTTTTTTTGTGGTTGGTATACTCAAGCATTAAAACATCAATACCATGGCATTAGTTATTCATATGTTGTATAGTTTACTACAGCCAGTGTGAAGTTTATTTAAATTTTGTCTTTACTTGGCTTTCATTTTTTTTAGTTCATATTTAAAGTCCATTTGGACCACATGAAGTGAATGTTTTTCAGGGCTTTCCTTTTCAAAAATATGTAGGCTCAAAGCCATTTCTGGACTATAAGAATAAAACAGTTGGACAAATTTTTAACAGGTATAATTCAGACATTGATTAGATTGTCATATGTGATTTCTCACCAAGTTTATTTGGTATACCATACCATACCATATCAACATATTTTTTTAATCTAATCATTAGAGAAACAGATTCTATATCTTGACCCAATTTATAATTATATTATTCACTCTCAAAAGTTAAATATCAAAATGTGAGGTTAATCCACTCTCAATAATTTTTATAATGTGAAGTAACCCTAGCGTTTTAAATTTTGAATCCCAACTATCTCTATTTTAAAAAGTCATAACCACTACAAATATTCAGTAGAATCTGTATATGAATAGATATAGGAAGATGTGGTATGAGTGCCAATGAGACAACTCTCCATCCAAGTAACAATTTATAAAAGTAAACATTATAGGTCAAGGTACGGCCTTCAACACGGAGCAAGCCCATTTTTATCTTGATCTAGCCATATTTCAATTTTTACAGAAAAGGGTATATAAATCAAAACAAGCTGACCTGGTATAAGCTTTTATATGTTGGGTACCAATTATCACATATAATGGAAAATATGCTAATTTATCTTCTTCTTTTTTAATTTGCTGTTGAAATTTGTGATAATAATCAATGGACATTTTGTATTTTGGGCAGATAACTGGTAGCCAGCAAATAATACGTAATTTGATTATCATGTCTTTTATATATCTTAAGTTTCCTTATTTGTTTATGCATTGTACAACAGGGAATGTACTTTACACACATCCTGTTTTGCTGTTTTCCCTCTTATCCTTGTATGCCTGCAGCATTCTCTTCAACATCAGCATTTTTTCTTGGCATACTAAACTGATATTGGAAAAGTATTATTTATACAAAAAAAAATAGGCAACTATGTCTCCTTACATTTAATTCAATGTCAATTTTCATAAATTTTGCTCAAACACCATTAGTTTTCAAAATTTAACACTGCCACAAAAAGGTTCTGTGAAAGGGATTGACAAAGAATTAAAAATTTTCCATGTTATTGGAACTTTACCATTGAAGTTTATTGGAGTGTTGATAGTTAAAAACCCTTTGACAGCTATGGAATGAAAATTTTTATAATTTATACTGAACAAAAGACTAGCAGCATTGAGGACCTTATTTGGTCCAAAGCAGGTAAATTTTTAGAAACAAAATGTCAAGAATCATGATATAATAAATGAAGATTTGCTTCAGATATTGGTATTAAGTCATATATTTGGGCATTAGTTGGATTATTTTTCAAATCATTATTTAGGAAATCCCTTTTACAGAACCTTCTATAGTGCCTTAATCAAACCAACAAACCGTCCAACAGCAAGAGATATTTTCCTTGCAACTGCCATTTTTATGCCGACTGTTCAACATATATGCATGAATTCAGAATCTTGTACATTTTTATTCAGCTTTTGATTTTTAAAAAAGCCTATTTGTATAGACTTGAAAAAAATAAAAGAAATGTAAACTCATTTAGCTTGTTTTCTTTTCTTGATGCATGATAGGTTACTCTACTGCAAGGAAATGTGTCCTATGTTATTGGAAGATGATATTAACTTGATTTACCAGTAAGAGTTTTAGATTGGCAGCAAGATATCTCATGCAAGACATCTTTTAAAAAAGAAAAAGACTGAAGATCAAAAGTCATGGTTTCTATCTATAAATGTATTTGTTTCCAGATTATGGTTTATTAAATTAATATTTGTGGTAGACCATTTTCATGGTTTTCATAAGGTTCCAGAAAACACTTAAATGAAAGGTTCAGCGACACGTAATGACCTTTATTAAATTTTCAAGGTTAAGGTTTAAAATTGGACAGTAGATTTATTGAGAGTTTGGAAAACATGAACTTTAGAATTGATGGAAGATTTAACTCAAAATACACATTTACAGAAACTCATTCACAGGTATGACCACAGGTATGTAAACGCCAACCTGATATGAATTTATTTTAAAAATGCATTACATTTATTATCTAATCATCATTCACCAGTTTTGCAACACAGTAGTTTAAGCTCACGTGGCCTAAAAGGCCATGTAAGTTTTGCCATCCCTTTACTTCCGTCCATCTCTCCTGTGTAAACTTTTTCAAAGATCTTCTCTGAAACCACTCAACCAGTTTCACCCAAACTTGGGCTGAATGATCCTAAAGTTATCTAACTGACCAAAATTGTAAATTGATTCTTAAAAGGTGTTATTGCTCTTGACAATTTTATTAAATTATGTTTTTTGCAGAAACTATGATAGATAGACAAAAACTTTTAAGTAGCAAACATGATCAGCAAAGTAAGATCTACAATAAGCTAACATGACCCAAATTGTCAATTGATCATTTATAGGAGTTAATGCCCTTAAAAGATTTATTTTTACCAAAAAAAAGAAGAGTTTTTTGCAGAAACTATGATAAATACGGATAAACTTTATATGTGGAAGACTTTTAGCAAACTTAAGACCTACAAATATGTCAACAAGAACAAAATTGTCTATCAATCTCTTACAGTAGTTATTGCCCTTGTTTGGCCTTTATTTCCATTTTTAGCTCACCATGTGAGCTTATGCCATCACTTGGCGTCCGTCGTCGTCGCTGTAAACTATTTCAAAAATCTTCTCCTCTGAAACTACTGGGCCAAATACCTTCAAACTTTAACTAAATGTTCTTTAGGGTATCTTGTTTATAAATTGTATCCGAAGTTTTGATCCATCGACAAACATGGCCGCCATGGCTAAAAATAGAACATAGGGGTCAAATGCAGTTTTTGGCTTATATCTCAAAAACTCAAGCTTTTAGAGCAAATCTGACATGGGATAAAATTGTTCAGTTGGTCAAGATCTATCAGCTCTGAAATTTTCAGACGAATCAAACAACCCATTGTTGGGTTGCTGCCACCGAATTGGTAGTTTTAACAAAATTTTGCAGTTTTTATACGACCGCCAAAAAATTTTTGTGGTCGTATATTGGTATGACGTTGTCGGCGTCGTCCGGCGTCGTCCGAAGATACATTGGTTTTCGCACTCTAACTTTAGTTTAAGTGAATGGATCTCTATGAAATTTTACCACAAGGTTCAATACCACAAAAGGAAGGTTGGGATTGATTTTGGGGGTTATGGTACCAACAGTAAAGGAATTAGGGGCCAAAAAGGGGCCAAAAATAAGCATTTTTGTAACTTCCAGACATAACTTGTGTGTTAGTGTATGGATCTCTCTGACATTGTACCACAAGGTTCCATATCACAAAAGGAATGCTGGGATTGATTTTGGGAGTAATTGCCTCAAAATTTTAGGAATTAGGGGCCAAAAAAGGGCCAAAAAACAAGCATTTTTCTAGTTTCATGACAATAACTTGTGTGTAAGTGTATGGATCTTTCTGAAATTTTACTACAAGGTTCCATATCACAAAGGGAAAGCTGGAATTGAGTTTGGGAGTAATTGCCGAAAAGTTTAGGAATTGGGGGCCAAAAAGGGGCCAAAAATAAGCATTTTTCTAGTTTCCAGACAATAACTTGTGTTCAAGTGTATGGATCTCTCTGAAATTGTACTGCAAGGTACCATACCACAAAGGGAAGGCTGGGATTGATGATGGGGGTAATTGCCTCAATATTTTAGGAATTAGGGGCCAAAAAGGGGCAAAAAACAAGCATTTTTCTAGTTTCAGGACAATAACTTGTGTGTAAGTGTATGGATCTTTCTGAAATTGTACTACAAGGTTCCATATCACAAAGGGAAAGCTGGGTTTGAGTTTGGGGGTAATTGCCTTAAACGTTTAGGAATTTGGGGCCAAAAAGGGGCCAAAAAACACATTTTTCTAGTTTCCAGACAATAACTTGTGTTCAAGTGTATGGATCTCTCTGAAATTGTACTGCAAGGTACCATACCACAAAGGGAAGGCTGGGATTGAGTTTGGGGGTGATGAATCATAAGGGGGTTCAAAAAATTTGGGGGGTGGGGATTTTTTTTTCTTTTTTTTCTTTTTTTTTTCTTTTAAAATTTTCCATTTTAAGTTGGTTATTTCTGATTTATATTTAAAAGCAAATAATAATGATATGGTAGGAGATACACACCAAACAGGATGTGTAAATTATTATATAATAAGTATTGTGCAATAGCAAGAAATTTTCAATTCCACAGTATTGCACAATAGCAAGAAATCTTCAATTGCACAGTATTGCGCAATAGCAAGAAATCTTCAATTGCACAGTATTGCGCAATAGCAAGAAATATCCAATAGCACAATATTGCGCAATAGCAAGAAATTGTCAATTGTACAGTATTGCGCAATAGCAAGAAATATTTAATTGCACAGTATTGTGCAAAAGAAGATACTTCGTATAAATTGCTTATTTCTTGACCAATTTCAATGGGGTTTTATTCTTGAATTCTTGGGGTTCTTTAATATGCTGAATCTAACAGTGTATTTAGTTTTTGGATTTTGGGCCCCGTTTTTAAATTGGTCCACATTGAGGTCCAAATGGTCCAAAATTAAACTTTGTTGGATTTCATCAAAAATTGAATTATTGGGGTTCTTTGATATGCCGAATCTAACCGTGTATTTAGATTCTTAATTTTTGGTCCCGTTTTCAAATTGGTCTACATTAAGGTCCAAAGGGTCCAAAATTAAACTTAGATTAAACTTAGTTTGATTTTAACAAAAATTGAATTCTTAGGGTTCTTTGATATGCTGAATCTAAACATGTATTTAGATTTTTGAGTATGGGCCCAGTTTTCAAGTTGGTCCAAATCGGGGCCCAAAATTAAACTTTGTTTGATTTCAACAAAAATTGAATATATGGGGTTCTTTGATATGCTGAATCTAACCATGTATTTAGATTTTTGATTTTTGGGCCCCGTTATCAACTTTGTCCACATTGAGGTCAAAAGGGTCCAAAATTAAACTTTGTTTGATTTCATCAAAAATTGAATTCTTGGGGTTCTTTGATATGCTGAATCTAACCATGTATTTAGATTTTGGATATTGGACCATAATAGGTGAATGTCCAATTTAAAATTTTTAAGTTCTTAGACCACATTCATTCTGTGTCAGAAACCTATGCTGTGTCAAATATTTAATCACAATCCAAATGCAAAGCTGTATCAAGCTTGAATGTTGTGTCCATACTTGCCCCAACTGTTCAGGGTTCGACCTCTGTGGTCGTATCAAGCTGCGCCCTGCGGAGCATTTTATTTGTTATTATTTTGAATATTATTATAGATATATATAAACTGTAAGCAGCAATAATGTTTAGCAAAGTAAGATCTACAAAAAAGTTAATATGACCATAATTGTCAATTGACCCCTTAAGGAGTTATTGCCCTTTAAAGACAATTTTACACAATTTGTTCATCAAGTTTGCTAACATTTAAAAATCTTCTCCTCTGAAACTACTGGGCCAATTACCTTCAAACTTTAACTAAATGTTCCTTAGGGTATCTTGTTTATAAATTGTATCCGAAGTTTGTATCCATCGACAAACATGGCCGCCATGGCTAAAAATTGAACATAAGGGTCAAATGCAGTTTTTGGCTTATATCTCAAAAACTCAAGCTTTTTGAGCAAATCTGACGGGATAAAATTGTTCAGTTGGTCAAGATCTATCAGCTCTGAAATTTTCAGACGAATCAAACAACCCATTGTTGGGTTGCTGCCACCGAATTGGTAGTTTTAACAAAATTTTGCAGTTTTTTGTTATTATTTTGAATATTATTACAGATATATATAAACTGTAAGCAGCAATAATGTTCAGCAAAGTAAGATCTACAAAAAAGTTAATATGACCAAAATTGTCAATTGACCCCTTAAGGAGTTATTGCCCTTTAAAGACAATTTTACACAATTTGTTCAAGTTTTCTACATTTAAAAATCTTCTCCTCTGAAATGCAGGTGAGCGATTCAGGCTCTTGAGAGCCTCTTGTTTAAAAACTTGGAGCTACGTTAAAAGTATTAATAGCAAAAATAATCAGCATGACAAGATGAATCCACCATGAAAATTTGAGAAAAATCTTAACTTCTTGTTTTGGAGTTATTGCCCCTGAAATATTAATTTTTTGCAGTTAAGCTGCCATATGCTAGCACAGCAGATTTGATATTTCTAGGATTTATAACTAAGGATTTGCTGTGATACTATATTTAAATGCAACTCATTTTTGTCGAGCCTGCGACTTTTGTCGCAGAAAGCTCGACATAGGGATAGTGATCCGGCGGCGGCGGCGGCGGCGGCGTTAGCTAACTTCTTAAAAGCTTTATATTTTAGAAGGTGGAAGGTCTGGATGCTTCATACTTTGTATATGGATGCCTCATGTTACGAAGTTTCCGTCAGTCACATGTCCAATGTCCTTGACCTCATTTTCATGGTTCAGTGACTACTTGAAAAAAAAGTTAAGATTTTTTGTAATGTTAGATTCTCTCTTATTATAAGTAATAGGATAACTATATTTGGTATGTGCGTACCTTGCAAGGTCCTCATGCCCGTCAGACAG